TATATATTTCTTCTGTAATTGTAATTTACAATATCATTCCGAATACAGGTAAACTTCATTTACCTGCATTCTACGGAGGGGCTATTGTAGTGACCTATTTTATTACTCATCATCGCAGTATACTTTCATTGTGTAATTGTACTTTGATTTGTTTATTACTCTATATCTTGCATGTTAACAATTGATACCTTTCGTACTCGCTCGACTTTTGAATTTGATTGCTGCAATAATACACTATCGTATTCCTTCGCAAGTGCCTTTTGAATTACGTTGTGGATGTCGAGTAATCGCAACGTTAGGTCACAATTATAAACGCGAAGAAGTACTAAGATATACGCGTACGCTAGTGTAGTCAAAATATAGCAGCACAACAGCATCACTGAGGAAACCTGTGTGGACGAACATTGAAACTCTCTGAAAGCGATATTTAACGAAACGTGTACAACTGTTCTAAGACGAAGGAAGAGACAAGAAAAGGAATGGTTGCCAATGGATATCTGGAAGCTAATCGAGGAGAGGAGGATGGTGAAAGAGAAGATGACTCAATGCAAAGACAGAAAACAGAAGGAGAAGTTGAGTTCAAAGTACATTGCACTGAATAAAGAAGTGAAGTTGAGTGCTAGAAAAGACAAACGAAGATTCCGCGACACACTGGCAACTGAAGAAGAACAGGCTGGCCATAGGCAATGGAGACATTAGGAAACTATATCAGATAACCAAGTCTCTACCGGGGAAGAGATCGACCCAGACGATGAAAGCAGTGAGAGATGTAAAGAACACCTGATCACAAAGGAGGATACAAAAATCAAACAATGGACATGCAGCAGCAAATAATTCCCAAAATTTATTGACCACAGCAATCATCACTGAACATTGGATGCTGACCCTCACTGTTTAAGCCAACTTGTTTAGCTGAAGGCTTCCGGTCAAGCATTCATGCCATTTGGTACTCCGACGTGTCACGTTCGTGCGTGATCACTACCCAGTTAAGCAATCATCTCGCTCTACGATTTGGTCCCGAAATATACCTCGTAACTTGAACGATCAATAGTGTCTTTTCCTCTGGCTTTGGTCTACGCGGAACGAATACTATAGAAGTTGTGGGTATTAGATCTTGCGTTAGTATACTCCGTACAATATGCGAACGTCAATACCGTCAGCCTCTAAGCTGGTGAGCCCAACCGTGAACTTCATGTTTGGTAAATACGCAGACAAATCCAGTGAGTTCGTTCCATTTTGTATTTGTCCCTGTAATGTTTTTAAACTATATATATATTTAGTCATGAGTGGTCATACTCCTGAGGTCATCCGTATTCGCTCAACTGCCAAAACCATTCAGCTCGTGCCATTTTCGTCAGATAATGCTGAATCATGGTTTTCGAGACTTCGGCGTACCTCAAGTTTACGTCAACTTCCTTCATCAGTTATCTATATGACAATGCCACATGTCAAGTGATCCACAATTGAAAGCTCAGTGGAGCATTCGAAGTGCGTACGGGAGTAAGACAAGGGTGGCTGTCTATTATCACCGACGATATCCTTAATTGTAGTGAACTGGATTGTGCGTCAGACTGTTGGGGGCGAGGAGTCAGGAATACTCTGGAAGACAAATAAGAAGACTCTGGAAGATCTGAATTTCGCAGTCGATATGTGTCTAATATCACACAGACTCAAGGACTTGCAAGCGAAAACCAACAAACCGGTGGAAGAGGTAGGCAGCGAAGACAGGACTGCAGATGAACACAGAGAAGACGGAGGTGATGATGATAACCAATCAACAGCAACAACAACCAGCACCAGTAAACATCAATGAGAGAGATTTAACAGAGGTTGCCTCCTTCACTTATCAGGCCAGGAAGCATCGTTTCAACTACAGGTGGAACGGATGAAGGTGTCAAAGCCAGTCGGAATCAGAAAGGCGAGAACGCCTTCATCAACTTGAAACTAATTTGGAAATCTCCTGCACTAAACAGAAGGAACAATGTGAAGTTGGTTCTTCTGTACGGGTCAGAAACTTGCACTGTGTGTCACGAAAAGGATTTCCAAAAGGCTGCAGCCTGTCATCAACAGCTGCCTTCTCTGACCCCATACTGAAGATCAAATGGCCAGAAAGAATGGGCAATAAGAAACTATGGGAACAAACCAACAGGTGACAGCCGATCACTCAACAAATGTGTAGGAGAAAGTGAAGACAGATCGGGCGTACATCAAGGAGGCTGTCGAATGACATCGCACTCCAGGCAATGCCTCGAGTGGAATCCAAACCGGAAGCGACGAGTGGGTCGTCCTAGGATGACATGGAAGAGATCGTGTGAGGAAGAGATGAGAGAGTTTGGTCAATCGTGGACCCAGCTGAAGAGGACGACAGAAAACAGAATAAAGTGTAGGTGTGTTTTTGAAGCCCTACGTTCTACTCGGAACGCAAGGGAATAAAAAATAGACAATAAAATAACATGCTATTATTGGCTTCAGCAGAGCTACGGCACCTGAGAAGATAGCTCGTTATGGAACACACCGGAAGCATAGAACAGTTCAGAAACGGAGGAGAGTGAGTACCAAGAAATCGTAAGGCTTCTACAAGTTTGTCGAAAAGTATTGGATATTGGATGTTTAAACTTTGTTTAGTCAAGCTATCTCACGTCTGGCATCAGACAGTAGTTGTTGAGTGCGCTTACTATTGTGGTGGATCTCGTCGGCAGCATGTCGGATAGGTAAGGTTGTCTGTTAGTCTTCAGGCTTTCAGATGTCTCTTGTGAGTATGTTAGTCGACTCAGGGATTTTGACAGTATGCTGTTTGCTTGGGGTTGTCAGCCAATTGTTGTCCGACGGACAAAAGTGTGTCGTGCAGTTGAGACAGTCACAGTAATTAGGAGAACGATTTGTTAGTCTTCGAGTAGCATAGGTTAGAATACCATGAACTGGTTCACGTTACAAACATACAAAGTGGGCGTCAGCTTTGACTAGTGTGTAGTGGCATGAAGTGGTTAGTTGTATCCCGTGTGCACTGAGTTGCTACGGTAATTTCCTGAGAGCGGTCTTAGAGATAAATGGATTTCTCCAGTGGTGCAACCTCCTGGTTTGCTTTCTGCGGCTTCATGGGACCGTCAAACTTTGTCCGGAGTGGTATCATGGGTTGTAGATATTGGAGGTATTTCTCGTCAGTATGCCGTTATGTCGGACGATAACTGATGATGGATCAGCTAATTCGTCGATATATACTCACAGGTCATATTCAATGCGAGTGTGAATAAAATTGCATACTACAATATTTATGACGGTCATTTAAGCACTACTGAATTAATCGGTTGTGTTTTGTAGAGGGTTTTACGGACATTCGTGTGGACGTGGAGCACCTGGTGGTCGGGGAGACCGAGGTGGATCAGACAGGCCTTATGGAAATGGGTGAGTGTGGATTGATTTGCATGATTTCTCGCCACTGACGTTATCCGTGTAACCGCCACCCTGTACGTGCAAAACTGAGAAGCGTAGAAGTATTTCAGCGCATACCTCGTCAATGTCTTTCTGGTGTGGTTTCAATTCCAGTTTGGAAGCAGTGTAGCTAAGATATCCCATAGGCTGAACGGTTTCATCACAGAGTGGTCACTCGAAAAGCCATCTGAACTTTGGTGCATCAAGCTTATTTGGCCGAAATTGAGTTGTCTAAACACACTGAGTAGTCGGGCTCGACTTGTGGTGTGTTTTGGTGCTGGTCGTGCACGTTAACTACAGTTTGACAGTTCCTGAGAATCTGTTCGGAACGGAGACTGATGAGATGTGGCTAACATGAAGGATAAAGAGTGACTGAATTGTCATTGATTTTTGTCCTGTGCATTTAGCTACGATGGTTGGCAGTTGTTTCATGAATGAGGAGTTAGCGAGAAGTAGTAAGTGTCTTTTGTGTTCGGATACGTATTATGTAGTCCGCTGTCATCTCCCATGATATATTGTCAGATTGATTTTTCAGTCAGCCTCCACAGATTAGAGAGTAACACTGTTCGTATTCGTGGTGTGCATAACTACTAAGATGTTGTTCTTCACCCTTCAGGTCACGCGTCAACATTTCAGGACCGTTAAAGAAGCCTGCTGAAAGAGGTCATTCAGCGTAAGTTTGTGACTGCTGACAATAACTCGTAATAGTTCGTGTGGTTCTGCATGGAGTTCCAATGCACCTTGTGAACGGGGTGATATTCCGTCGTCTTCGGAGGGCGAAATTGCCTCGGAAGCTGCTCGCCAGAAAAAGAGCCATCCAGTTCAAGAAGCTATGTGAGTACTATTCCTGTTGTTTCTTCAGATAACACGACATGTTTTGTCCTAATGCCTAACTAGCCTTCGTTTCTTTGTTTCAGATTTGACATGTCTACGGGGATTTCGAAGTAAGTTGACGTCAAATAAACTCTAACAGTATTTGTCTTCATTGCTTTTTTCGGTAACGCTCCCGAATTGACTATTTTTCAGACTAAACATACAGAAGACACTCAGAATGCCGAATAGACCAGACCAAGGAGGTACAATTGGCAAGAAAGTCAAAGTCACTTCAAACTGTTGGGATTTTTCTTTTCACCACAAAACGGTATATCTTTATTTTGTGGAAGCAAACTCAGTTCACCGATTGGAAGCTAAGGAGGGCAGTAAAACTGAGATAAGAATGCCACCTAAAGAGTTGAGATCTTTAATTCAGCAGGTAGCTGACTCGTAAGTACCATTGTGTTATTGATCAAATGGATTGTTTACATATGTAACGGAACTTTCTGTCCCTTAATTATTAAGCTGAATTGTTCCTGACTTTCGGTCAAGTATTGCTTGCTTGTCAACCGAAGGTTCGTACACGTATGGGATAACTTGTTCCATGTCCCACACCATTCATTACGAGACTTTGGTTACCATCAGTGTTGTTTAAGGAGAATTGTTGAAGTTGTTGGTTATGGCTTGTATTGATGGCAATGGTATCTATTCATAGACCTCATGCTAAACAATTGTGCTTATTTCACTCTCTTCTGCAGTTTACCAGATACGATTATATATGATGGCGGTCATGCCATATACTCTGAAGATCCGTTACCTGGTGTCACAACGGACCCCGTAGAAAGAGAGATTGAGATCAAAGAGCCGTTTGGTCGGGACCGCCTTCTTCTCAAGTACCGGATTATGGAAGTGCAGAAGGTGTCTACTTCCGACATCAGTCATTTCATAACGAGTCCGAAAGCGAGCTCAATGAATATGCCTCAAGTAAGTCTGGATATGTTTCAGATTTGTCTCTAGGAATGTATCAGATTATTAGATTGCATCTTGAAAACAGTGTCAAAGCAGTCGTTTGTATCCGTTGGACGCGCAGCCCTATTTCAGGGGACACCAACTAAAGTGGTTGTGGATAAGCTTCTCACTATTCATAAAGGTTTTATAAGTACTGTGAGACCCCAGTGGAAGATTCGTGTGAACTTGGACATGGTAAGTAGTGATACATGTTCTTTTTACATAATCACAGACGTGCAAAGCCTACTTTGTATCTGGGAATCTAGCGGACGTCATGTACTCGAAGTATGGAGACGATATGGCCAGATGTAGCACTCAAATGGCGTACGACTTGAGAAAGATACGAGTTGAGACTGATAAATTCTACAGGAGCGATGATGGTATGCATGTTTTCTGTTATACCTCATACATTTTAGGACGTGCATATTCCCGACGCTTCACCGTGCACGGGATATCATCACTACCAGCTGATCGTTTGATGATTGAGGGGTTGAATCAGTCCGTGGCTGCATATTTCAAGGAGCACCATCATATCACTCTGAAGTATCCAGAGCTGCCATGTGTGAAGGTAAATTTCCATTTCAGTGATTATTTTTGTAGGTTGATCAAAAGCGTGAAGTGTATATGCCGATGGAACTGTTAAACATTTTGCCATATCAAGCTCCTAATGCGAGTAAAGCCGATGTTGCGAGTGAAGTTATCCGTTGTGCAGCAATTCGACCACAGGAGCGGTTCAGAGAGCTGGAAAATTTTGCCAATAATATGCTGCAGTAAGAGTATTTTATTTATGAGTTGATACTGCTGGTCAGTACTAAAGTGTAATGTTGCTTATTGATGCAAGAGTTGAGGGGAAGCATGTTGAGATCGACGAGCTTTCGATGATTGATTTTTACGGCATTCCATGAAGCTTATAGCTCGACACTCACTGTTGTAGCGCATTAAAAGGATGGTGAGAAAGTAGAATAGGTAGTAAGTTACAATGCAAACCTTGGATACTTTTGGGGATTTCCGAAATATCACTCTTAGCTTCTATAGAATCATTGGTGATGTCAGTGGTAGAGTCCTCCAGAATGGATGGTGAAGTGCTCAAGATAGTGCTACTTCAAGTTGTAGTCGATAAGCTATGGATCTGTAGACCCTTCCAACTACAAGCCAACTCAGTTTTCCCATGACTAGAAATTCTAGTCTTCATTATATTCCTGCATAGAGACAAGTTGAAGGTGAGAACGGAAGCATACTATTAGACGAATGATTAGTTATAATTGTATTTCAATGGTTGTTCATGCACAATGGTAAGCTTTTGATTTCGAGCAAAATTGCCACCAGCTTATTGGATTTGAAATACAATTACACTTAATCGATCTATTGCACAATGCGTAAACTTTTCACTGATATTATTAGATGAGCGCTTTGCGAACGTTTTGTTGACAAATCTGATGTCCGTTGTGTCAGCCGTAGTTTTAAAATTTGAATAAACGTGAAGTAAACACCGCAGTCCTGGATAAGTGCCGGAGATGCTTGACGTAACGCCTACCTACAAAGCTTATTGTTTGTTTTCCAGGCATGCAAGCAGATACGACATACACTGTTTTACACATAGATTTGATAAGGACGCAGAATGTGGCGGTGTCTAGTTGGTAATAGTGGGTCACGAGTTATATAGTTGCGCAGACCTGCAACGAGTCGAGCACGACAAAATTAGAGCAGTGTTTGTTGACCGTGTGACAGTGAAGAGGACTTAATTGTAGAGTAAGTATGCTTGAATGCAAGTCTGGAGCCAATTATGCAGGAAAGTGTGTAAACGAAGTTAGTCTGGAGCCAGATTTTATGATTTACTCAATTCATTGTTTTGTAGTTATGAGGTTTTCTTTACATGCTATTTGTTCCATTTCCTCCCAGGTCCCACCCACTGATTAAACAATTTGGTTTAGCGATTCAACCGAGGCCAGTGGAAGTTAACGCACGTGTTATCCAAGCTCCAACTGCTGGTTTTGGTCGTTCCGGTGTGCGACAACTGACGCCAGGTAGTTGGATCACACCTGGCTTTCTTCGCCCTGCCGGCGAAGGAGTAGAATTAATGTGGGCTATACTTAGCGTTCCGCCTAATCAGGTATGTTTTCTACTCCGGTCCAGCATAAGATTAGTGCTGTAACGAGGATGAGTTGTGCAATCACTTGGGCATTAAATTGACTTGGTCATTTGTCGATTGTATCAACATCGAAGGGTCCCTCGCCTAGTTTCATGACAGTCCACCTATTTCATTGTTCACTGCATTACGTCGGTGGCAATATCATCATCTTTTATTTGTCAGTGTTTAATGCTCTGTATACGAAGCTGAGGTTTTGTCTGCCTTTTAATAAATTGATGAAATGTTGTCAGATAAGTAGAGTAGTCTGAGAAATGTGCACTTAATTCTGGTTTGTTGTCGAAAGGCATATGTTATTGTTGAAAACCGTTAGTCTCCTTTATAAATTTGGATAGTGTTTTTAGAAGACGAATATTGTCTGAAAAGTGTGTATTTGCGCAATACATTTGGAAGAACCTCATGTTATTGTTATTGTCAAATGTGAAGGCGAGAACTGACTGTTTCCTCCTCTTGCCATGTTTTCTTCCTAGCGGTCTCATGGTCATGTACAGAAGGTGATATCGGAATTGCCTAGAGCGGCCAGTCGCTTTGGTGTTCGGTTTAGCCCTCGACCGATTGTGGCACAGTGTCCGAGAGGAGAACTTAACAGGAGGTTCGAGGAGTTTTCCAGACAAGGATGTTGCTTCTTACTTCTCATCCTGTATGATGAACAGTCCTACTCATCCATTAAACGTCTGAGTGACCTACAAATGGGCATTCGGACCCAATGTGTACGAAGTCGTACTCTGGACAAACCGAACGTTTTCCGTGAGTGATTACTGTTGTTCACATGTAGCTTTCAGTGTGTTTCTGTATTTCGATGAGCTTAATTCGGTTTTCTGCTTTCAGCTAACCTGTTGCTCAAACTGAATGGGAAACTCGGAGGTGTGAACTGGCAAATTCCTGATTTGATTAAGGACAGTCAGGAGTTGGTTATGGTTTTCGGAGCCGACGTCACTCATCCGGCGCCTACACAAACTCATGAAATTCGGAAGTCAGTAGCTGCTGTTATTGGTAGCATTTCACCCGATCTGATGAGATACGGGGTAGTTATCCGTCAACAGGCAACCACAGAAAAAGGCAATAAGTCGTCTAGAGAAATAATTGACAATATGCGTCTGATTGTCAGTGAGCTACTCCAGGTTAGTTTTCATCAATGACCGACTCTACTGACTTACGTTCCCCTTCTTCCCGTTGTACGCTTTCGTTCTTCCTTATTATTATTTGTGTTTTGTTGTAGCTTTACCTGCGAAACACGAACGGGCGTTTTCCAACGCGCATGATATTCTATCGTGATGGAGTTTCGGAGGGCCAGTTCGAAAATGTGTTGGTGGAGGAGTTGGCTGCGATTCAAAGAGCCTGCGCAGATATTCGTCCTGGTGAAGAGCCTGCTATCACTTATATTGTTGTGCAAAAGCGTCACCATATTCGATTTCGACCATCTGACCCCAGGTAAGGTATTCGCTCATGATGTTTTCTGTGTACCTACTACACCTTATTCGTGTCTTAACGGTCTGTTTGAATGCTTTGCTAGGGCAAGAAACGTGGAGCCAGGAACGGTGATTGATACAGATATCACACATCCCAGGGAATTCGATTTCTACCTCTGCTCTCAGGAAGGGATTCAGGTAAATTGTTTCCTTGTGTTAATACCATTACTTTTAGGGTACATCGAAACCTGCTCACTATCACGTTTTGTATGATGATAGTAACTGGACATCGAATGCTCTGCAGATGTTCACCTACCACTTATGCTACGGGTACATGAGGTGTTCCCGTAGTGTCTCGTATCCAGCGCCGACTTATTATTCTCATTTGGCTGCATTTCGGGCACGTGAGTGGTTATCGGACATAGAGAAACCAGAGATTCTGTTAGATGCTGGTCGTTTCAAAGTTCACAGCAGTCAAGTTGATGGCATGTTTTACTTATAAACAGATTTTGTTATTTTCATATAAATTGTATTTCCTTTTGAATCCATCTTCTCTTTTCGAGTTAACTGTAGTTAGTTAGGGCTACGGTGATACAGCATCAACGTAATACTGATAGGAAACCTTGAACACTTCACAATTCGATGGTTGATTCGGACGTTTTCTGGGAGGAGGTGACTGACTGGCTGCATTAGAGGTGTTCTGACCTCTACGTCCCTGCTGTGTGTTCTCAAAGAATCGGTTGATGAGGCAGTGTCAACACCTGGCATTGATAAGTCCATTAACGTGCGTGTTGTGAGTAAGAGTAAAGAAAGTGTAATTTCGAAGCTAGTTGTCTGTACTCTTGAGCAGGGGAAATGGTTGTCTTCTGCAGAAGTGTGAATTCCAATAATTTATTTGGTCAAATGGTGGTTAATCTGAATGGTTCGAGCATTTCTCGGTGTATATCACAACTGTTAAGGTCGATTGTTCACTATTTGCGCAGTGATTGATTACCACAAATGCTTGAAAAACGACGGGCGTTCGCAGTATCTGTTTATCAATAAAAGTTGTCCACCTTGATTTGCTCAAGATTCGTGGTTTGAACGGTTTAGGATTGTGTGGAGGGTCTTACTACGCGCAAGTGGCTTTCGTGCCAAATGACTTTAACTTGTTTGGTGATGGTATCGGGGTCAATGCACAGTGGGTGTGCATGGGCTGTTTTACTTTACTTAGATAAGAACACATAATTTATGTTATGGGCACCGAACGTTAACTGCGACATCGTCATTGATTACAATTCTCAGTTTGTACAGGATGACGTGCTGAGGCACTTATTCGTATGATCTTAGACCCCACGTATGAAATCGTAGTTCGTCGACAGATGCAAACACAGCACAACTAAGCTTCATTGCAGACGGCTCCGTATGCCTGCAGACGTTGAAATGAAACAAACCAGTGTACGGTACTTTGAAGAGCCGGAAACTCCGAAGTGATGCAGTCATTGGCCTTCGATTGTTTTGCAAGTGGTTTGGAGGGTGTTTTCACTGCATCCTGTGACCTAATTTGTGCAAAATGGATGGTCATGAGTTACTTCAGGGTTACAAGGGTTTATCAGTTTGCATTTCCCATGTGCGTTTTTTCGCGTCAACAATCCAGGGTGTTTTCCACGTAATTTCTATATTTTATAGAGTACTACGAGACTTTTGAGGCTTCAGGTGCAGTTCAGTGTGAATAATAACTGAGTCACCCCGATTTCCGAATAATTGCTGACTAAACCTTCCTTAGTATATCAGCGCTGAGGGAGTTCCACAATGAGGTGGTAACTACAGTTCGGGTTCTAAATTTAAGGCATTTTCTATGCCCCCACTATTGTTTTTTATCCAGTGGTAGTTGCATGTGAGACGGTGTTCTGCCGCTGCTCGCATTCCACTCAATCCAATCATCTTATAACGGAAGCATCGACCAACCTACCTTGATTACGCCACATAACAACACACGGGTAATATTAAAATATCAGTCTTACCCTTTACAAAATATTGAGTCAAACATGTATGTCATCAATCACAATGGAGAGGATTTAAGAACTATCTGGTTGTAGTGACGAAAACTACCTTTACTACTCTGTGTAACACGAGTTTATATGATATGACAAGAAGTGTTTTGATATGATTGTCTGGATGAGGTTTTTAGTACAACTTATAGTCCATAGTATAGAGTTGATAATGAGCAGTAAATTGTGCTCTAGACGTTATCCAGTCAATTACACTATATCGTATAAATTCACGCAATACTGCCCAATGTCTCCTACTGCGATCAGAAGTTCTCTGTGAATCCTTAGGAAAAAGCAGCATGAAAGCATTGGGGATCTAGGCATGTGTGCACGAAAGACATATAATCGAATGGGACGGATTGGTTTATATAAACTGCGTGCCATACAATTGGATGAACTAGCAAAATACGTTGATATTTGACTTGTTAGTGTTGACAAAGTGAAGAGTACTAGACAACCTACCGTAAAAGGGCGGGTCCAGTTAACAGACATGGATAAAAGTTCCTACAGAAATAACATCTTCAATTCTAGCCTTAGACACTCTAAAACTCCGCTTATTATCAACTGAATGTGATACGAGCAATATGAGTAGTGGTTAGCAGTGGACGTGTGTTTCATCCCACTTGGGACTCGCCAACTGACTGTACCTACATGTACATCCTAGTGATGGTTTTCACAATGAGACTCGACTAGGTAGCCATTGTTTGACAACCGAACGTTATTCAGTAGACTAGTGGTCGACGGCAGTCATTTTAGTGCGGTGAGCGTGAATTGTTACTTCTCGAAAATTGTGACTTGATGCTACTTGGTAGGTTATCATTAGCACGACTACAATGATCACCGTCATAAGTCACATGGTACTTGAAGAACCCAACTGGTCAGCTTGTTAATCGTATCACTTCCTTCACATATCATTTCATTGTCTTGCCATTTACAACTGGCCATCGTCCTATAAAAATGAGCCAGTAATTGTTACTCTGTCCCACTAATATCCACATCTATGATACGGTTTATTATATATTCTAATATTTCCTCTCGGTGTTTAACATCCTTGGTGTTTTTTTGCATAACATGTGATTGCTGCGATTAAAGAATCCGGGAGTGGTGAGTCGACTGTTAAAACATGCAAGTGTATGATAACATATACAAATATAATACCAAATTGACTGTTTCGAATCACAGGGTGACAATGAGTACATACTAGTGTATGTCCATAATTAGTGTTTAACATGTATTTCACCTAGTCTGGTGATAAATTCCATAACATCGGAGTGGGAAGTCATTTGTGTGTGTGCGTGTTGGTGTGGGAGTGTTAATGTTTGTTCCCACTGGAATGGTAGTCGTGAGGTAAAGCTGATCATAGTTGTAGGCTCTTGTAGTGTGAGAAGGTCAATACACAATGATCATTATCACAAAGACATCCACTAATCATCTAACGATGAGCTTTCACTTCTGACATTTGTTGCATTTTTTAGACAGATACTTGAGAATATATGTGATTTGCCGCAACTTTGATTTTTAATCGTTTTGACAGATAAATCCACATTTACTTGGGTGCATATTACAACCAACTCATCGGACTACATGGTACTTAAATGAATGTTCATCTTGACTATACTAATAGTACACTTGTTTTCTATCAATCCTCACTCATTAGACCGAATTATCTGCACATAACTGCGTCTAGTCTTAAGAACCCACTGTCCAGTTAAATTATACACTAAAGGCCGCATTCTTTATCGTAAGCGGTAGTAAAGGTTTGGTTTGGCACGTCACTGTAAGATAAAGTTGAAAGATTTGACAGCTTTGTGTAATGTTAACAGGGTATTTCCACTCTCAGGTGATTTAAAAGTATTCCATGCAAAAAGAGTAGGTAAAGTTAGGTGAACAAACGAATGATCATTCAATTTCGCCACTTTAAGCCCCATTCCTATAACAGTTAGTGAATTCAGGTGTTTGGTTTTCAGGGATTCGATTAATTTCAATACATATTCCCAGTGCTCCCTGGTTTTCATCGACTCCCAAACCGCGCTGATTTGTAAACCTTCTCACACTCATACAATTCAAGTTTTCGTGAGACAATGAGTCACATGTGATTTTCTGTTCAGTTTCTAGACTAGGACTGGAATTAAGTGACATCTTGCCAGGCTATTCAAATACATTGCAATAAATGTGCCCAAATAGTATCTCGCTCGTAATCCTGCTTTTTGAGGGACTTAGCAACATGTCGTTTAAAGTGCACGTGGTAGCCTAGTTCACTATTCGAATTCTATTGGTTGTTCTCTTTACGCTGATGGTGTCTAATTGCTGTATGCCTGAGTCTACTTGATGAGTATATGAAGTAACTACGTTGTGGGTTTGGATACTGCTAATAATACAACTACTGCTGTCTACCTACCTGGCTGTACAAGTTTTGTTTATTTTGGTAATACAGCATTACTACTACAATCTCTCTTCTTCTTGATTGATCCTGCGTACAAGTTGTAGTTAGTACGTGGTGTGGAAAATTCAAAATGACATTTTTTTGTATGTGAGTTTCCGTATATCTGGTGAATTATTTCTTGAGAAACTTATCTAATTTGTAGTAGGTCGAACTTTTACTGGTCTTAACTAATATCTTAAATGAAGATACATATTTTCAAATTTAAATGTATTTTATTTGGAAGTCAACAATGTCTGAGACGAAAACATGAAGTTTTATTTAATAAACTGTCTCAATAACTGGTTCATCAAAATACTCCCCATAAATGGTGTAGATGGTTGAAAGTGATTAGTGGAAGGTCAGTTTATCCCAAGTTTCTATTCACTTCTGTTTGTTATCAAAGCGAGCATGTCTTTCTACAGAGAGACACATTGGATCTGAAATACTAGGACCTCAATGGCATAAGTAAGGAAACTGACAGTATATTATCGAGTCCATTGAAATTGTTGGGAACTGGGATCACATATTAATGGTAAATTTGAAAATAAGTGTTTAGTTACAATAGTAAATATTCAGTAAGAATGCACATGCAGCTACATGAATTATTTATAGAAATAATTAGTCAGGGTTAAGTGAGGCGCACAATAAGGTTGAGCAAATTGATCAATTTAACGACTTCAGGATCATTTATTTCTCTGAAGTAAATTAACATGCCTGGATTTGTTTAGTCTGTTTTAATAAACTAACAGATTCCAAGTGAACGTGATCTATTACTCCATGTGACATGTTTCCATCTTCATCGGATGGCTGAATTTGTAGTGGCGCACAATTAGCGGGAAGAATTGTGTGTCTTTCGAAGGCTTGTTCAACCAATCATTGTCTAGTGATCTCCCCATATGGTAACTGATACTTATAGGCATTTTTCTGTTTCTCTCAATTGACAAAAATATCAGGATAACTTCGGAGATTGACTCAGCGACGTTCAGGTTTCTTGATAAGCATGTCAAATGTATGAAATTAAGCTATAAAAATCCAATTTATCTTGTACAAAGTG